TGTCAGTAGCATGGCTTGAGGGTTTAAGGTGTAGGGTAGGTGTAATTAGCATGGGAATATATCGGTGCTTGGACCCTGAAAGTATGTAGAATAATAGCCCTTTATGGTTTTTGGGCCATTATTTCACCTACTTTTGCGGGTCTAGGTGATGGTTTTCGCAAGTCCGTTTCTCCTGGGTCTAAACCCTAAACCCTAAACCCAAGGGCACAGGATAGCTCAGGGTTTGGTACTTCGGGCTTTTGTCGGTCCCGTAGTGAGACTGAGGCTTCCCGGAACGTGGTTCATGCAATACAGAAGAAGATTGAGAAGGACCGCTGCGGAGTCAAGGATGAAGAGCTGGGTTTGTTTAGGACCTAGTTCGTGTGTAGGCTTAGGGTTTAGGGAGGTGTATAGCATTCAGGTTCATGTTCGGGGAGTCCAGTATGAGACTACAAGTGTCGATTGCGATGATCACATTCCTTCCCGTCTGCATGGTGTCTGTATCGATTGCGTGCACTCTCTATCGTTACCAGAACTATCGAAACTACCCATAAGCCCCATAGTAGTTCCTTTTTGGGGTTCACATTTAGCATCCTATAAGGCACTCCCCAAAAGGAACTATTATGGGGCCTATGGGTATTTGTCACCTTCCAACCCTGGCCGAGTTTCTCCGTTGGTGCGATGAAAGCAGCATCCTTGGTCCCGAAGCCCAGCCAGGCACTGGACCAGCCTCTAACTCGGAGGTGCGCACGCCCTCCCGCCCACCGTCAGCATGACGAACGTGTGCGGGTGGCACCGGCTTACAAGCCAAACCCTACCACCCCAAAGCCCTAAAGAGTTGCGTCTCGAAGCCCTAAACCCTAAACCCCTAAACCCTAAACCCTAAACTCTCGAAACCTCAAACCCGAGAACTCTACTCTGCGCTTCGAAGCCCCGAGCTTGCAGGAAATGCTAGGCCGGGTCATGGGCAGCGCGCCTCACGACCCGTCTACCAAAGGCCTGAAGCCCCGCGCCCGACACCAACTCCTACAACGTTCTCCTGCAACGTTTTGATTTTGGAAGTGTTACAAGGAAGTCGTGACATCCCATTCTCAAGCATAGTCATGAGTCTATGGCACTCTAACCTGACTCGTATAAGTGTTTAGTTGAGTTTGGGTTTAGCGCTTCCGACTCTTGGGGTTTGAGGGTTTCAGGTTACCGCTGGTCGCGGTTCGCAGCCTCAAGGTTGTACATATTAGGAGTCTTGCCGTCATAACTAGTCTTCGTAATGCTTCCTTTCAGAATCCCGGGCGTTTGAGAGGACAGCAACCTCAGCCGTGCAGGGCAGGCCACAGGAACGCCGACTCCGTCGCCAGCGCCAACACCGGCGTCGTCGCAGCAAAGCGCAGCGCCAGCCTTGACAGGCCAGCCGCCCGGGGTTCTTGGGGGCTTTGGGGTCTTAGGGTTTTGGGATTAGGGGTTTAGGGTTTAGGGTTTTGTAAGTGTCCGAACAGCAGTCGATATCGGGTCCTTGTTCGAAGGTGTTGTGGGGATTTTGTGCTCCGGTCTAGCGTCAGTGGCAAGTTGCGAACGATGCGTTCTTAGCACTTCATGCCGCCGACATCTCACAGAGCACTTCACGTCACCGTGTTTCCCCGAGGCCATCAGCAGACAGATGATGACATCCACGCATATTTTGAGGCTGTCGCATCATTGCAGTCCAAATGACTTTGCCCGTGGCCAAGCTAATGGTAGGCCAGTCAGGAGGCCAGTGCAAATCTGCTTCTGGGCTGGGCACATGTTGTTAGTGCACGTTCAATCCTGCTCCACAAAGCAGGGATGCAGGAGTTGCAGACTTATGGAGAAACCATGAGAAACCGAGTCAATGTGGCGGCGGTTCTTTGGCGTTCTTACTAGCATTGTTACCAAAGCACTAGCACCTTTTGTGACGTTTCCGTTGCTCCAGGAGGCTTTACAAAGGGGTGATGGTTGCAGGTTTGGGGTCTTGCGGTTGAGGAGTTTGGGGTGCTCGGGATCCAAATTGAAAACCTTGCCCAGAAGCCCATATGGGTAGTTCTCTAAGTTACTTAAAAAAAGGACCCCCAAAAGGGACCCTAATTTTGAAAAACTACCCCCATGTTTGAGGACCCTTCGTCAAGCTCAGCCTGACGCACAGGACTCTTCTTCCAGTTCTGCACGAGGTTTCACGGGAGCCCGGCGGGCCGCCTGCACATCTAAAGCCTACACCCCAAATTGCAAACCGTCGAAGTCTTGCAGTTTGTTGTGTGCAGCTGTTTTTCCGACCGTGCTTTCCTGAGAAAGGGGGGGGGGGCAGGGCGGGCAGAAAAAAGCGCTGGCAAGATTTAGGCTCGATCTGGGCAGAGTGTAAACAAAGGCTGACGCAAGCAGGTATGCAACATTTGCACACTTGGATTCTTGTTGCATTGCGCGCGGAAGCTATAAGTGAAAGGATGCTGCAGGCCCTAGCTACGACACCCGACGTCAGTCACCCTGAGCCCTAAACTCGTAGCAACATGGCTTCACTGCTGTTTCACTTGTGCCGGCAATTGGCAAAACAAGATTAGAGCACTGAAAGGATGGAGGGTACACCGGAGCCATGGATGGAATTCCAAAACGGCCTGGAGGACGGCATTTGAATTGTTCGGGTGTAAACCGACGCTTCGCAGAGACTACATTGTGGAACACTTGTGACACATGCATAAACATCCAATCCGCAGTTTAAGCAGACACCAGTCCAGGACGATGCAAACACCATGCAGCACCTCAAGGAGTGTTTTGCAGCGGTGTCTGTCGCTGACTGGTTGGCGCTGCTTTCAGGTTTCGTTTCAGGCTACCGATTTGGGGCGGCGGTTTGGGATGTTGCCCTTGCATTCTTTGTTCGATGTGAACCTGTGCCATAAATTTCGATTTAAAGCCCCGAAGCTGAACGCTCAAATCTTGAAGCCTACAAGCTATATAGCCTAAAACCCTAAAACCCAGTATATAAGACACCTTCCAAGCCGTACTTATTGAAGCCTCTAAACAAAGCTATATAAGGATCACCTTAAAGGTTTATTCACGTAGCCTGTAACCCGTTCAGGAGCTGTTGTTGCAGCAGAGCCGCCGGTCGGAATACTTGGGTCAAGAGGCAGCGACATCGAATCATGTTTTGGATCGAGTGGTAACTTTCAGCGTTTTTGGTGGGAGTTGCATTCCTGCTGGATGATGACCAAAAAGCTCTGCTTCTGTAACTTTAACTGACCAAATAGGATTTTAGTTTTGAGTATTAGTTTGGGATGAAGGGTTTTGGGTTCAGGGCTGTGTCGTAAAGGGCTCACAGACCTAAGGAACTGGGGAAGGTCTCCTTGTTGCTTCTATGAAACATTTTAGGGTTCCGGGTTGCAGGCTCCAGGGCCTTTGACCCTAAACCCTAAACCCTAAAATGGCCGGCGTTCTGCTGTGATGTGGATTGTCCCTGAAAGACAACCTTCCTGATCAAATCCAAGCCAAGCCAGAAGCCTTCCGGGTTTAGGGTTTAGGGGTTGTTGAGTTCTGGGCGAGAGAAGCCTACTGCAAAAAGGGGTTGTTGGGCTTATGCCTTCAGGTTTCGATTCTAAGGTTCAGAGCTTAGGCTTGGAAGCTCAGGGGTTTAGGGTTTAGGGCTTAGAATAAAACCAACAAGCAAGGCTTTGAATTCACAGCTTAGATCGATCACCTACGCTCTGAGCGCTCTGAGCCTTACCTTACACCCTACGCCCTATAAAGCCTATAAAGCCTACACCAAAAAGCAGGCCGCTGCGCGGGACTGGGAGCGATGGGAGCTACTGCAACAGCCAGCGCCCAAGAAGGAGTGTAATATAGAAACCTAAATAATCACCTATACTATTTTTTGGGGGGGGTTCCTTAGTAGAAATATAGTATCAAGGGCCCCAGAACCCTATTCTAATTATTAAGACCCCTACATTAACCCCGAATCAACACCAACCCTCCCTGTACAATCGTGTACTGATGATGCTCATGGTACTTGTCACACTGAAAAATGCATCAAGTGACGATTGCGTCAATGCCAGCAATGAAGGTTGTGATGACCATGACAGTCAGGAAAGTCACGCTGTCGAGGACAGCTCGCGTTTGGATAGCAAGAATAGTAGCCGCAAGTGGGCCAACAACAACACTTACTAACACATGACGACAGCTCTTGTCCCAATTCCGTAACCTGAAAATCATTGTGGAGGCTCCACACCCCAATCCATAAACCTCCAACATCAGAAAAACGGAGGCTTATCATTAGAATCGGGGTCTCAGTGTATACAGTAGTATAAACATAACAAGCCTGAGGAACATTCTTTGACATGTCAGGCCCTGTGCCTTATTAATCAAACCCCATTTCACGAGCCTTGGTATGAAGATCCCCAGATTGTAATCTTCGCAATTGTTAAATTTGCCGGGCACCATACGTCCAAAACCCCAAGCTCCAGATACTAGAACCCTGAACTCCCTAAGCTGCTGAGCTCTAAAATTCTAAACCATAAAATCCTAAACCCTAAGGCCCTGAACCCCGAGAACGTAAATCCCCAAATCCCAATACTTAACGGATCATGGGACTTAGTAAGTAGGGTTATAAAAAAGGTAACTATACTTATATTTACTTATAACCCCCTTTAAGGGACTTATAACCTCACTTACTAATTCCCATGATCCTCCAAGTAGGCGTGGTCACGCTCACCAGGCGAAAGGAAGGGTCATCAACAACCATACACCGGCAACCCTGTTACAGGGTTTAGGGTTTAGGGTTTAGGTGCTAGTGCTAGACAGGAAAAGGCCCTAGACAAACAGAGACTGCTACTGCTAGCGGTGATGGCAATGTATGGAACCTCAACATGTAAAGGAACCTGATACAGGGTCTGAAAATATAATATTTTTTGCTTTGATTAGTCCTGCTATTGTTCTTATTATGTTATGACTAATCTTCATCTCATTGTAAGGACTTAATATGAACAGACCATTTGGGGTTCTCGGTTCGAATTCTGCGGGCTTGGAAGCGAAGGCTGCGACAAAGAGACGAGCAGCTGGAGTATGAAGAGAATGCAGCGGCCAAGCAACGAATGGACGGCCCGGCAAAGTTACATTTCAGGGTCTTTCAGGGCTTGTGAGGGTTTAGGGTTTAGGGTAAAGGGAGTTTTGTAGCGTGGATGGTGGCAATGCTTCTCGACGTGGGTCGCGAGGTTTCAGGGAAAGCAAGACTGATTGAGTGGGTGCCACACCCATGGAATTTTCTTACGGGTCTCCGAATCCAAGAATCGGAAGCAAGAGACCTCAGAAGCCTCAAATCCATGAATCCTTCTATTACCGGGACGGTTTAGGGTTTAGGGCTTTGGGTTGAGGGTTCAGGATTTAGGGTTTTTCATAACACTACCATCCAGAGAGAGGTGCTGAAATCCCCGGATTTACGAAGTTGAAGACTTCAGGGAACCGTTCCAGAATTCGTCTCCATTCGTCTCCCCAGAGACTCCAATATCCCTTAATTAAGGAATATACCTTAAATCATATTAAGGATCGTACTAGAATTTAAGGTATATTCCTTAATTAAGGGATATTGGAGTCTCTGGGTCCTGCATGCAGCATCCACAGTTCTTGTTGTTTCCCGTCCAACTCCTACGAGACGTTGAATATTCTACGAGTCTGCACTGAAGTGACTTTATGGTTGATTGACACTCGAAGTCAGTCGCCCTGAACCTATTAGCGAGTGTTGGAATCGAAGCCAGGTGCTCAACAGCGCCCGGGCAGGTGCCCGGCACTACCGTGCCGTGTGCTGCCTTCGAGCCTGGCGAAGCCACGTGCAGCAGCACCCCGGCTGTTCAACATCGAAACCCTTGTAGGACCTTTTATCGCAGCTCTTGTAGTTGGCAGACCCTTGCGGTAAGCCTAGAGTTGCGAACTTTCAAGCCGTTCTTTCACCCTATGTGGAACTGGTCACGGGCATTTTCAAGCGGTACTCATGTAAGTCTAGAAGCGGTTCATTCCGACGCGAAACATAGCGAAACATACTTGACACATAATAGAGTTGATGTGCTCACGACGTCGGCAGTGTGTAAACATGGCAGTCTTTCGAAACCTATCCCGAGTCATACATCGAAAGAAGGCTGCGGCAAAACTCCAGCTGCGGCCAGCAAGCTCACTAATCACTAAGCAGCTTGGGATTCAATCCTAGCCCTCTTGTGTCGAAGGCGTAGAATCCGATAGACTAGACGGCTCGCCCAACACAAGAACCTGTTTATCTAAAGCTGAATCCGGACCTGATAGCAATTGCAGAATTAGCCCTTCGTGTGCCTTAAAGACCCCATCCGTTTTATCAATCACATCCGTTTTTGTCAATCTCAAGTTCAATTCCGGGTGGCAGCTGTGAATAGCTTCCAAACTCTTGCCGTGTACATGTGAACAAAGCCGTGGTACCAGACCACATGGGAAAACTAATCTTCACCACAAGCAAATTAATGTAGCGCAGTGCTTGTGTACCTGCTGTAGTTTTGCGCTTTCAGGACCTGCAACAACCCAACGCAACTGTGGCGAGACCGTCTAGAAAGAAATCCCCATGCCTCGCCTGGATTGTCCGAGTGTGAGCGCCGACATCCCTTCCAGGTCGAAACCGGCGTGTGTCCTAAGCCGCATATCCCAACTGGCAAGCTTTCCAGGCTTTGTGCTGAAAGAGCACTTCTTCGGGCGAAGAACAGGTGGAGACCTTACATGTCGGTTGTGCTAAGTTACCTGTAGTCGCCATCGCAGTTCCTTTTTTGGTTTAACCAAACATACATATATATATATATATATATAAAGGATTCTATAAGGTATCCCCAAAAAAGAACTACAATGGAGACTATAGGTAGGGTCCATTGTTTTTTGCCGTGGCAGTGCGTGACTTTCGCCTCAGGGACTTGGGAAGGACGGCCCAGATCTGTAATCTACTGTGGCCCGGATTACGAACCAGCAGAAGAATCCTAAACCCTACACCAGAACGGTCTTCATTGGGTTTCTAGAAAATTGTCATAGGGACATCTCGGTGTGCTTCGGAATGGTACTTTGATGTCCCTTAGACCTTCAACCGTAAACCATGAACCAGTAACAGACCCCTATACCCTTATACCCTAGTAAAACTCTAAACCTTAAACCCTAAACCCTAAGCCCTGAACCCTAAACCTTAAACCCTATACCCTTAAACCTAGTAAACCCTAAGCCCTAAACCCTATACCCTTAAACCTGGTAAACCCCAAAGCTTCAACCCTAGACCCCATGGGGTCGCGAGCTCAAGTTCTAAGGGCGTGGGCTGCTGTATTGATCCGAAGGCCAGCGCTACCCTAAACTTTAAACCCTCACATGGGTAGAAACCCTAAACCCTAAACCCTGCCCCAACCTCAAACCCTTACCTGGGTAGTTCTCTAAATTAGGTTCCCTTTTAGGGGTCCGTTTTATCCTAAGGGGACCCTACTTTAGAGAACTACCCACATACAGTCGCCTCCCTGCCTGAAGCTGAAAGCTTCGACCTCGGAGGCTCGCTTTAACAAATCAGCATTCACAGTCTTCCGAAATCTGGGTTTAGGATTCAGGGTTTAGGGTTCAGGGTTCAGGGTTTAGGGTTTAGGGTTTAGGGTAAGTACTTGTGTTATGCCTTTGCCATCAGACCTTTGGAAGCCTCACATGATTTGAACATACTGAGATAGCTTGGGTTTGAGACCCCCTTAATCCCTCAAACCTGAAGTCCTGAAGCCCCTCGGCTGAACCCTGAAGCCTTAAACCCTAAACCCCTAAACCCTAAACCTTAAACCCGTGATAGATCCCGTAGCCCACGAAGGATGTTTGGCCTTCAGTTTGATGATTGAGGATGTTTCACAGTTGAAGGCCTACATGGCCCGCGTCTGACTGCATGGGAGGGCGTAGTTCAGCTTAAGAAAAAAAACTTAAACCCTAAAGCCCTAAACCCCTAAACCAACCTTGACGACTTGACCCAGAGCTGCTGATCATGACGATGTTGCTGCTATTCTCATACTATTCCCAGTGCTGAGAAGCTATTGTAAGGCAGCTTGGTTCGTCCTGCTTACGAAATGTACTGTACCACCCTTCATAGCTAGCCGCCGTGAACCCCCAAACCCTAAACCCCAATTCCCAGGCTTACCATCGGGCGCTCGCGGCACGCTGGCACACTGCTGCGTGCCGCAAGAGCCCAAGGAACCTGCTATACCTTGACAGCTTGACAAGATCAGTGGTTTAGGGTTTAGGGGCTCAGGGCTATGATATGTCGAAGGTCCCCTATTTTCTGAAACTCGTATCGAAAACTTTGAACATGCCTAATCTTCAAATTCCCAAACCGCTAACCTTACCCGAATTCCCTGGGGAGAAACGAACTCCCAACACAATCTTTGAAGGTCAGCCGATCTAGTTCTCGCATGAAGGTGGTCATCAGTTCACTCTGGCTTCCAAACTCCACAATGACTCCACAAGCACCAGACATCGCTTGAGGTCCTGAACCGCCTGGTTCGAATATCTGTCCCCTGAACCCTAAACCGACCCAACACCGTCCCCGGCCTGGGTCCCTGATGTCCTAAACCGGAATACTCTGTGCCTCAACCCGAAGATCCGCTTTCGAATTCCGACAAGCCAAAACCTTAAATCCAAAGTCCCTGAACCCCCTGTCCCGAAACCCGAGTTCCAAAACCCTACAGCCCCTGAACCCTTACAACCCGAAAGGGGCCTAAATAATTACTTATACTATTTTGGGGGCTCCTTAATGTAATTATAGTATAAAATACCCCCCCCCCAAACCCTGTTCGAATAATTGTGCTCCTACATTAAGTCAAGCAGGTTTTGAAGCACTCCATGAAGCTTGTCTATCAATTGCAGGACCCTTACGTAGAATCTAAACCTCATCCTACAGCCCTAAACCCTGAACCCTTCAACTAAAAAGTCTCACCCTTATTAATCTTGTTAGGGCATTAGTTAGGGTTTGGGATTCAGGGTCTCGAGTTAAGGGACGCTTCAGGTCTTAAAACACTCCGTGGAGCGTCAGCTCACCTTTGGCCTCAACGCGCTGTGGCTCAACTCCGCCTCCCACGCTTTGCCTCCCACGCGCCAGCCTCGGTGATTTTTG